TTCTTCGAGACAGTGGGAATTCTGACTGATCAGGGCAGCTATTTTTGTTACTAATGGAAAACAAATTTGGTCATCAGGGATTCGATTGCTGAGGGCCTTGAGAGCTAATTAGAGTTTTGTTTGGGTCTAGTAAAGCATCCTTTGTATTAACTCAAGGTACTCAGTTTATCAAGAATTAGTGTCATTGTTGCATTAGTGCAGGCTCTAATAATAAAGGTTAATATTTATTGAGGTAGTCATATGTCATTTTATCCCTACCAAGTACTCTTGTCCTTATCTGAATAAGGACATCAGGACTTATAGAGGTAAAATATTTTGCTCAAGGTTTTAAAAACAGAATATAGATTTTCGTATGGAGAATAAGAGTGTATCTTGAGCTTAGAGGTTGGCTAAGAGTGGAAATGCTTTTTTAATTTTTTCCTTTTCCTTTACTATATGATAGAAGACAAAGACTAAAAAGCTTCTTTCAAAACTTTGAACTCTGGATGGGAGAGACAGTACAGAGGGTATGCGACTAACCTGGTTTGGATCCTATATGATCCCCTGAGCACCGCTGGGTGGGCCCAAAAACCAAAACTAAAACCAAAACTCTTTGATCTATGTCTTTATGACTTTCTTGAGCAAGTTATTTAGCTTTATTTTATTTATTTTACTTTTTGTTTTTGGCCACACCTGGGCTGCCCAAAAAACGTCAAACCCAGGTCTGCTGCATGCAAGGCAAATGCCCTACCTGCTGTACTGTTGCTCTGGCCCCAAGTTCATATAACTTTAACTTGATTTTAATCTATTCTCATTTCTTTCTTTCTCTTTAAAACAACTTCCCCTTCTGTTCCTTGTTGTTGATGCTGTGACTGTCATGACTCGGGTGGTGGTGCTCGCTGCAGTCTGTACTCTGTGTTAATGTTTGAGCACCCTTCATGGAGGTACCTGAGTGACAGCTGTGGTGCTCGCTGGGGAGACTGCAGTGCTCAGCAACATTCACACTTTCTGGTTGTGGCACTTGCACCTCTTGTAATTATTTTTTCTTTTTTTTTGGGGGGTCACCTCGGCGATGCTCAGGGGTTACTCCTGGCTTTGCACTCAGGAACCACTCCTGGCGTTGCTCGGGGATGCTGGGAATCGAACCCAGGTCGGCCATGTGCAAGGCAAACACCCTACCTGCTGTGCTATTGCTCCAGCCCCTTGCACTTCTTTTTAGTTGCACTGCCACCCTGGGCATTATACCCCTCCTCCTCCTGGCATTCTGATATTAGGGGTATTGCCTTAATAGGATCTGAAAGGTTTTGTTTTGTGTATGACAATTGAGTAAGTGGAAATAGAAGAAAATCTGCATGTTTTAATTTGCCCATACTACACTGTTTTGTTTTATTTTATTTTATTTTATTTTATTTTTTGTTTAATGCCACAACCAAGTAGCACTCAGGGCTTTCTTCTGGCTCTGCACTCAGGCGGGGTTCCGGGATGATGGATATTGGTGCCACATATGGCACCGGGATATGTGCTGCCGGTATTGAACCCAGGTCGACTGTGTGCAGAGCAAGTGCCCTACCCTCTTTCTATCTCTACAGCCCTACAGTTCTTTCTTTGGGTGGGAAGACTCCCAAAAGGTGCTCAGGGGGCCTGGACCACTCCTGGTGGTACTTGGCCTGTGCTGCTGGGGACCTCCAGGACCAGAACTCTAAGGCCATGACCCAGTGGTGCCTGGGAAGCCAACTGTTGCCAGGGGTTGCATCTCCTGACTCCCACAACACAGCTCTTTTTTTAAACTTTATTTTTTATTTAAAAATTTTTTTATTAAAGAAGGGCTGGAGCGATAGCACAGCGGTAGGGCGTTTGCCTTGCATGCAGCCAGCCTGGCTGAGCCGAGCTCGATTCCTCCGCCCCTCTTGGAGAGCCCAGCAAGCTACCGAGAGTATCTCGCCCGCATGGCAAAGCCTGGCAAGCTACTTGTGACGTATTCAATATGCCAAACACAGTAACAACAAGTCTCACGATGAAGACGTTACTGGGCCTGCTTGAGCAAATTAAAGAACTGATATTTTACAAAGTTACTGATAGTTGAATTTTAGGTGCATAATTTTCAACACTGCAGCACAGTTTTTTTTTTTTTCCCCTTTATTTTATTTTATTTTTTTTTAAAGTTGTAGATTTACAATTTTTTGTGCTTTGGTTTCAATTATACAATGATCAGATACCCATCCCTCCACCAGTGCCCATTTTCCACCACCATGGATAATATCCCTCCCACCCCCATCCCCCCATCCCCCCGTCTCTGTGGCAGGGCAATCCCCTGTGTTCTCTCTCTCCTTTTGGGTGTTGTGGTCTGCAAAAGAGGCATTGAGTGGCAAACATGTTCAGTCCATAGTCTACTTTCGACATGCATCTCCCCTCCTGGGAGGATCCTCCAAACATCCTTTATTTGGTGCTCCCTTCTCTATCTGAATAGCCCTTTCCTCTAGGATACCCGGCTGGCCTCTAAGTTATGGAGTAATCCTCCTGGGCAGCACAGTTTTTAAGGATCATTTTATTAAGCTGTGAAATGATCTCTTTGCCTCCATGCATATTTCTACCTATTAGATTGTTACTACATTAAATGATATGATTGAAGAGTTTTCTTCACTGGGCACTTTGGTGATTCATAAACATTATTGCTTTCCAGATCTTTATAGGTTTCATACATTGTGTTTCACATTTATTTATTGTTTTATTGCACCACATCCCATTTGTGCCTATTGGCAACTCCTGGCAAGTTGCTTGGGTACCTCCTGGTGGTACTGGGAGACTATGTGGTGCCAGGAATTGAATCTGGCCCTCCCATATGAAAAGTATGTGATCCAGCCCCTTAGCTATCTTCCTGGCATTTACCTTAAAATTTTTTTTCAATTAAATGTAACTTGATTTTTTTTGTATTATAGAAATATATGCCTACCTCATGTTAATTTAGGATTATAACTTTTTATACATAGAAAAATATTATGACAACCAGTCATTAAGTAAAATAAATAAGTAAAACCATGTTAAACTCAAATTTAGATGTATACACATAGAAATAATGACCGTATTCATATGTATGCTATATAAGAGTATCTCAGTGCCATTTATAATAATTTCTGTGACTTTTACAAATATTGGCAAACATACTGTGGAAAGTTTTTAACAGATTGGGATTTCCCCTTTTCTCATTTCTGTTTCATTTTGACATCTCCACCTCTAGTTTCATTTAAAAAATTAAATTATTTATTTATTTTTCCCTGGTTTGTCATTTTACTTATTTATTTTACAAAGTTGTTAATGATGATTTGTTACTGACAATATTCCTACACCAATCCCACCACCATTGTACCTTCCCACTACCATTAATACTTGTTTTTCCACTCATACCATAGCAGACCCTCAATAATTTATATTGCTTGTTATAAACAATTTGCAAAAAGAATGGTCAAAAAAATGTTTCCTTAGAAGAAAGTGAAGACTGTTGTATCTCATCATGGAGCCATTAAGTCCTTGTATAAGAGATTACCAAAATGTTAATACAGGTTAAGCCTTCTGTGTTTATATTTTGTTAATCGAGACACCCTATTCAGTCTTTTGTGCTACTCCTGGTTTATCAGTATTGTAGAGTTTGCATCTCTACCTCTTTAACTTAACCCCCGCTTCCCCCTTTTTATTGAATCACTGTGAGATACACAGGTATAAAGTTGTTTATAATTGGATTTCAGTTATATTATTTAACTTAATTTTTTAAAGAATTCAGTTTTCCATTTTTTTTTTTTGTAGTGAGGTTGAATCCATGGTCTCACAGATACAAGGTACTTTTGAGCCAAATCCCTGGGGCCTTTAGTTTAATTTAAAAAAAATTGGCCATATTTGGGTCACACCTGACAGTGCTCAGGACTCACTCCTGACAGTGCTCAGGGTGCCATATTCAGTACTGGGAACTGAATCAGGTTGACCATGTGCAGGTAAGCATCTTATCCCTTGTAACTATCTCTCTGATCCCTTTAGTTTACTTTTTTCTCAAAGAGAATGATGAATAGCTTTTGGATATTTAGGTTGTTGATCTATATGTAGATAGACTAAAGTTTTTAGAAGTTTTATTATGTATCCATAGTTTTAGTTAGAAATGACAAGAAATTTGGGGCCAGAGAGATAGTACTGGGGGTAAAGTGCTTTACACATGGCTGACCTGTGGTCCATCCCTACACCCCAGATGATCCCCTGAGCCTGCCAGGAGTGATCCCTGAGCACTGAACTAGGAGTAAGCCCTGAACACTGACTGATGTGGCCCTCGATCAGCTGGTTAGTAAGTAAAATAAGGAAGAGAGCAAAGTCCAACACGCTCTCTCTGTGGAGCGCCTGGGAGAGAACAGCAGGTTTGATCCCTGGGACCAGTCAAAAGACTGACGACCATCTTGCCCCAGTGTTGTCAATTAATTGCTTTAAAAAAAAACAACAGCAACTTGATTTCTGGCCTACACCCACTTGTGCTCAGGGATCACTCCTGGAGGGGTTTAGGGGACCATATGGGCTGTTAGGGATTGAGCCCCGGTCGGTTCCCTAGAAGGTAAGTGCTCCCACCTCAGTATACCATCTCTCTAGCCCCTCCAGTGCTGTCATTCCAAATCTCCCAGCGCCTTAGCTCTCCTATTCACAGCAGCCATGAGAGAGCACTATAGCCTAGGGTGTGACCACTGGTCATCAATCAATAACATTTTTAATAAAATGACAAGCAGTCATTCAAAGAGTTTAATCACCAAAGTAGTATTTTACCACCAGATGTTTTCAGTGGATGAACATTTATTTCTAGTTTCAGTTTTTTAAAGATCAGTATAAATGAAATTGATAAAATACCCAGAAACTTACTTAATGGTATAAAAATTGGCAAAGAATAAGATATATCTCCAAGTCAAAACTTTCAACAGAATCTCTTTTAATTTTATCATTGTCCTGTTACTGGTATAGAAAAAGACTAACAATCTTTCATGTTCTCAATTTTACAGAATTAGTTAAGAACTGGAAAGAACCTCGGTGAAGATGAAGAGTCTATACTAGAAGAGGAAACCTTTTTTTTCTCATTCAAAACTCTTGAAAGTGGCTTGCCACTTGTCAGTCGAATTTGTTTGCTTCGTCAGAAATGATTTTTACCATCTCAAGAAAAAATATGTCTCAGAAATTGAGTTTACTGTTGCTTGTATTTGGAGTTGTTTGGGGATTGATGTTACTTCACTATACTTTTCAACAACCAAGGCATCAAAGCAGTGTCAAGTTACGTGAACAAATACTAGATTTAAGCAAAAGATATGTTAAAGCTCTAGCAGAGGAAAATAAGAATTCTGTGGACATGGAGAATGGTGCTTCTTTGGCAGGATATGGTAAGATAACCATAGAATACTTTTAGTCTTCTCTTCAGTTTGTTCCTGTTTAAAGATAGCCATGGAAATCCAGTGCATTGCTTCAGGCATGAATCTTCACAGAGCACTTGTTTCTTGACTTTTTATTTTGGAAAATTTCAGAGATACTGAAAAAGGATATAATTACTTATATCCATTATTTAAATTTAACAATTTCAATTTTATAAATATTTTGCAATATTTGTTTTATCTAGTTTTTGAAAATAATTATATAACTTGTAATTCAGTGCTTGATATTTCTGTATATATCTTTAAATATCATAACCTTTTTCTACATGATTACAGTACAAATATTAAATTAAAAAACTTGATTTTTGATCAGTAAATAGTCAGTATATATCTATTAATTCCTGAGAAGAAGAATTTGCATATTTATTCGGTATTACTTATTTGTGCTTTTCCCTTTTATTTCTTAGTTTCCTTCTGTATTTCAAATTCCTTATCCATTCTGGTTTTCTCTTGCCTTTAACAACTACGTGAGCATGTGAATTTTAAATAATACGTGTAAGTGCTCAAAGAATCAGAATGTGTACTGACTCTTGGAAGGAAAAAGGGCAGTTCCCCCTGCCCTCTGCATCCCTCAGTTTTCTTATTCTTCAGAGTTAGGTATTTAAAACTATTTCTGATATGTTTGGTAATTATCTCCATACTTCCAGGAGTTACTTCTTGATTTTCCTCTTTATAGTAGTTAACTGCTGATAGCTTCCCATTTTGCAGTTAAAGTTCAGTTCTCTTTTCTTTTTCAGTCCTCTGCCTGCTTCCCTCCCTCTCCTTCTGTTGCTGCTGTTGAGCTGGCCAGATTAACAGGTGCTGGGGGGTGGTGCTGGCACGCTCAGCCATGGAGCTTGCTGGGGGCAGCCCCCTTCAGTTGTGGTGCTTGTCCCTGGGTTCACTGGGGTCACAGTGCTCACATGTGCTTTCTGAGAGTTTTGCTCCTGCCCGCTGTGCTACCGCTCTGGCCTTGGGGTTTGCATACTTGAGCTGTGGTGCTTGCACACCTCTGATGGCACTATAGATCACACTCTGTGGCAGTGCGTGGAGTCCCACACAGCAGAGCTGCGGGACTGCTCCTGTGGTAGCCCTGGCAGTCAGTGCCCTGCTGTTAGTTAGCCACTGAGCCATCCCCTGGGCTTGTTTGTATCCAGAAATGCTTCCCACTCACATATAACTGTGTTCTCTCCCACCCTCTCTCCTCTCTCTCCCTCCCCCTCACACCTCCATCTTTCTCTCTCTTGCTCACACACACGTTTTTCTTGTCTTGTCATTTTCTCATCATAGTTTATTATTCTGACTGCGTTAGTGGTATTCATTACTGGGCCATGCAGTACATTATAATTGATTTTCCTTTCTTGCAGCACTTTGTTTTCTCCTCTAGAATAATTATTTTTATTTATTGAAATCACCATGAGATACAATTACAAACTTACAAACTTTCACGGTTACGTTTCAGTCATACAGTGATCCAGCACCCATCCCTCCACCAGTGCCCATTCTCCACCACCAGTGTTCCCAGTATCCCTTCTGCCACCCCAGCCCCTCCCACCCCCTGCCTCTGTGGTAGGCATATTCCCCTCTTACTTTCTATCTATCTCCTTTTGGGTATTATGGTTTGAAATACAGGCACTAAGAGGCCATCATGTTTGGTTCATAGTCTACTTTCTGCATATATTCCCATCCCGAACGATTCCTCCAACCATCATTTACTTAGTGGTCCCTTCTCTATCTGAGCTGCTTCCCCCCCCCCCCCCCCCCCCCCAGCATGTGAGGCCGGCTTCCAAGCCGTGGTACAATCCTCCTGGCCTAGAATAATTATTATAAATTTTTATTTCTTTGTCTGGTTTGTACTTGAACCAGCTGTCCTAGTTGTTTAAATCTCCCCTTCTCTATCAATATTACATCATAAAATTTAATTATCACTGTCTCATCTTGAAGCAGCCTTTCCTGGAGCATTCTGGTCTGATTTATGTGGACCTTTGACTTTTCTAGTTTTGCAGCGGTGACCTGTTTTAGGTTTTCATGCCATCATCATTCTGGAGATGGGGGTGGGCCACACCCTGCCATACTCAGGGATCACTTCTTTGATGCTGAGGGATCATATGTATTTCTAGGGATAGAACCAGGGTCAGCCACTTGGAAGGCGAGCACCTTACCCATTGTACTCTCTCTCTGGGTCCTCAAATTTCTTTTTACATAACTTACTATGGATTGATTTTATCCACGCACTGGGAACCCTGTGGATACTTTAAGTCCTGCTATGTACCTGTTAGTTGCAGGACATTTCCCCTAATGTATTTATTGGGTTTTTCCCTCCCATTGTTTCTTTTCGTTCTCCCTCTGTCCCATTGTGTGGACAGGACACTCCCTGAAGCAGCTAGCTTGCCACCAGGCTGCACTGTCTCCAGCCCTTTTTTCTGCAAGAGCAGCTGAAATACCCCATCTCTCTAGTAACGTGTTGGCCTGTCTGACACGCTAGTGCAGTCTGAGTACTTTAATTAGCACACACTATCTAGAGTCACAGTCCTAGTCAGCTTGTGATTATAAAACATTAGATATAGGGCTGGAGTGACAGCACAGTGGGCAGGGTGTTTGCCTTGCATGCAGCCGACATGGTCGACCCGAGTTCAATTCCTTCATCCCTCTCGGAGAGCCCAGCAAGCTACCGAGAGTATCTCGCTCACATGGCAAAGCCTGGCAAGCTACCTGTGACGTATTCAATATGTCAAACACAGTAACAAGTCTCACAATGTTACTGGGCCCGCTCAAGCAAATTGATGAACAACAGGAGGACAGTGACAGTGACAGTGATAGTCTCTGGGGCTCACCTTGAATAATCAAGACTTGCCTTGCAAAGACTTTTAAGCAGTTAGAGACTACCTGGGAATATGGCCAGTCACATAATCTTTATAATAAATTATCGGCGTCTGTTTCTTTGGACTAGATCTTTCTGATAGCATAGAGAAGCAATTCCTGTCTCTTGCGGAGGTGGGTCCAGGCCTCCTGATGTTCTGAAATCTGAATGAGAGGCTAGGAGAGAGGGATAGGCTCAGTAGGAAGTAAGCTTGCTTTCTTGATTTTTACTGTGGTACTCAGTCCCTGACTTGGCAAGGTGATGTCAGTAGGAGAGCTGGGGAGGAGAAGGGGTAGCCGGGAGAGTGGGTGCTACCACCCTCCTGCTGGATGCACCTCAGTCTCCCACTGGAAGGGCCAGGAGTTAGGACTGGTCATGTCTCCTGAAACTCCCGAACTGTATGACTCAGCCCCACCCCTGAGGCAGCTGTTCACTTGTGCCCAAAATCCATTTGCTTGACTTGGTCTGCAGGTAAGGTGCTCGTTGCACATGGCCAGGAGTGATCCCCAAGTTCAGAGCAGTAAATCTCGCACACAGTGTGCCCCCATGCCTCCTAGTTATTTGCCTTATTTCTATACAAAATAAATAACTCAAATATATTTATGGAATGACTTTCTCACTGAACTATTTAATCTCTTTTTCCCCAGTTGGTAAAGCAGCATAAGCTATTGTTTTTTCTTTTTGAGTTACACCCGGCGATGTACAGGGGTTACTCCTGGCTCTGCACTCAGGAATTACTCCTGGCAGTGCTCAGGCAACCATATGGGATGCTGGGAATCAACCCGGGTTGACCCCATGCAAGGCAAATGCTGTACCATTGCTCCAGCCCCAAGCTATTTTTTTTAAAAGTTAGAATACAAGGAATTACTGCTATTGCAGAGACTGTAGAGAGAGTAATTCTGTGTGAAATTTTTGTGAGATTGCTCTGTGAAATTTTCAGAATTTGTGCTTTCTCTTTATTTTTTAATTTTATTTATTTATTTATTTATTTATTCATTTTGGCTTTTTGGGTCACACCCAGCGATGCTCAGGGGTTAGTGTTGGCACTTAGGAATCACTCCTGGCAGTGCTCAGGGGGCTATATGGGATGCTGGGGATCGAACCCGGGTCGACCATGTGCAGGACAAATGCCCTACCTGCTGTACTATTGCTCTGGCCCCTGTGCTTTCTCTTTAAATTATAAATACTTCCAATACTGTTCTAAGTTTTGTTTTTCAACACTTTTAGTCTTCTCTGTAATAATATTTTTTTTCTTCCCAAATAGAATTCTCTTTTGGGCTCTGGGGTTTGCCTGTAGTAGTGAATTGGGGATATTTGCTTAGAGCCTCAAATTGAAAGTTGATGCACAATTTTATACACTGGGTTTCCATGCTGTGACATTAGTCTTGCCTCCTTCGGGTTTTCTGTCCCCCCACCCCCCTTTGCTTTTTGTATGTGCATGTGTTTTTTGTGTGTGTGGTTTTGTTTGGGGCCATGCTTATGTTTTGTGGGGCTAGTTTCAGTTGTTGCTGTGGTGGGGGTGGGATTGTTCCTGGTGGTGCTTAGGGGACATGAGGGCAGTTGCACCTGGGCAGCCGGTATGCAAAGTATACACTTCGTTCCCAGAGCCATTGCACCGTGACTCTTTCTTTTGAAGAGTTTTGGTTTTACTATCTACCAGTATGACGAAGAATTTTTTTTTTAATGGACTGCACAAACATGTTTTGAAGATTGGAAACTAATATATTATTACTATTGCTGTTCTGAAAATTAAGTTCCAAAAGTGTTGTTTTTTTCTCATTTTCAAAAATGTCCTTTAAAAACTGAGGATTAAATTGCTTTAATCAAGTTTACAAAATGGATTTTTAAAAAGAATCTGCTTTTGCTAGTCAAGAGAGAGGCAGCCTAGCAAGACTTTTAGACAATAACCTTCTCCTCCAACCACAGAAAGTAATGTGACCAGAAACTTCCCATATGGTCAGAAGTTCAGAAGTCAAGTGGCAGTCTTGACTTTAACTTTTCAAAATGATACTGAGGGATCAATGCTGCCACACTCTTTGTCCACCCACCTACATCTCCTTGGTACCAGTGGAGACCACAGAGGGAGTGAGATTTTCATCCCACCTGGCAGAAA